GATGGTTCTTTGCTCTTATACAGTCTTCTTCACTTGTGGAGGATTTGTACAAGTCAAGAAGTAAACTTGGTGGGTTCTTAGAGAAGATAAGTCATTTGGAGTCTGAAAAAGCAAGAGCAGAAATTGAGCTGTCCGAGGCAAAGAAGTCGGTCGAGGAGCTCACATTACTGATAGAGAGCTCGAATCATGGTGTAAAGTTTCGGGAAAATGATACGGAAGCTTTGAAGATATATAGAAAGGTCGAGGAAAATGGAAACTATGCGCAACTTATGAGAGATTTGGTGGCTGTTAAAGAAGAACTGATTAGGCTAAAGCTTGATGTCGATTGTGTTTTGAGGGAGAGAGTTGCAGCAGAGAAAGAAGTCGAGGAGTTGCGGTTTAAAACGGAAGGGAATTTGAGATTGTTGGAGAGTCTTAAGAAAGAGATCGAGGTGGTTAATGAGGAACATTTTTTGGTTGAATTGGGAAAGATCGAGGCATTGAATGAATGTAAAGAGATAGAAAGGTGGAAAGAAGGTAAAGGGAAAGAGGTTTTCGATTTGTTGGTGAAAAAGAATAAGAGAATCGAGGAAATGCTGGAAGAGGCGGAGAGATCAAAGGATATTGAGAATAAGTTGTTTGAGGCGACTTCGGATGTTGAGATGTTAGAAACACAACTAAAGCTTGTCAAGAAAATGGAGAGGAGAGTTCACAGGAGAGAAAAGAGCATGTCGCGATCAAACCGTGCTTTTGAAAGTTTATCGGTTTTGAAACAAGTAACAGAAGCAACTGAAGCAAAAAAGAAAGAACTTGCTTCTGTTAACGCAGAACTCTTCCGGCTTATGGCTGCAATGGATCTGTTGAGGAATGAAATTCTCCAAGCCAAAGAAGAAACAGCTCGGCTCAACAAGAACTTATGGAAATATGATGTTAAGATTCAGAAACTCAGTTCAAAGATGCTTATGGCAAAATCGAAACTGGAAGTAGTATTATCCGCCAAAGAAAGAATTAGCTCTCTTGCTGACAATTTAGCTGCTTCGCTTGAGAAGTTAAAGAGAAACCGAGAAGCTGCAAAAAAAGAGGAGCGTCTTCTTAAAGAAGAGAAGACGGTTACAAAAGCGGAAACACAGAAAACCAAACTCGAGATAGACGAAAAGGAAATAGAGCTGATTTCAAAGTTGGATGAGCTCGAGAAAGCGAATCAAGCAGAGGCTTTAGTGCTTGAGAAGCTTGAATCTCTCATAGAAGATACAATGGAAACTCGGGAAATGGAGTCTGAGCATTGTTCAACAATCACAATATCGAGGTTTGAGTATGAGTACTTGAGTAGACATGCTTCTCAAGCAGAAGAAGCCGCAGAGAAGAAAGTTGCAGCAGCAGAAGCCTGGGTTGAAGCACTCAAAGCTAGCACAAAATCGGTTTTGATGAAGACGGAAACTTTGATGAGAGAGAGTGGAATGACTAGAGTGGAAGAAGAGAGAGAAGCATTTAGGACGGAAAGGTTGTTATCGACCAAGAGAGTGGCCGAGGGCGAGATTCAGAAGTTTAAGCAGAATCCGGAAGCCGGAAGCTATCTTTCTCCTAAACCGGTTGGAAAATCCGTGAGGCTGAGCGGGAAATTCACACCGGTACAGCGAGGGAAGCCAAGAAGATACTCATCAGCAGGGACTCCGAGTTTCTTTGTAATCAAGAAGAAGAAGAAAGTTCCGAGCCTGGTCAAGCTTTTTGGTCGCAAAAGGTAAAATATAGGGAACATCCATTCCTATTTTGAGAAATGAGAAATGTGGAAATGTAGGAATGCCTGAGAATTGTTAATTATAATCCATGAAATCATTCATATTTTCCAATTGTTAAAACATAGAAGTTTGTAACTTGTCAAAACCATTCATAGTTATTACATCAAAATATTATATACAGTTTTAGTTCCCAAAATTTTCATGTTCGAAATTGATTTGTCTTGAGAATATTGATTTTTGATGGCTTCTTTCTTGCTGACTAGGCCTGTTATATGTAATCTTGGTTTTAGTTGTCTGAAAGTTTTGATTTTTGGAATTGGAAAGCACATAGATCATGGGATGCTATGAAGAAAAATGAAGGCCAACTAGAACTAGGAGTGTGTATGTGGTTCTGGTGTGACAATGTGTGAGCATAGTGATATGATTTATGTGATCTAGATCTTTGTCGGGTTTATGGTCCGCGATGTAAGAATTTGTTTCTGTGGAATTTGGTAATTACACATTGGTGTGTAACTAAACTGATACCATAATCAAGAACTATGATATTCTTAAGTTTAGACCCTTTGTGCAGATTCAAATGCAAGTTATAAAAAGCGCAGAACCAAATGAGCATTTTGCTGCTTAAGTTAAGGATTTGAACAAATCTATCTTTCCTTGTATGGGTAATGCGATTCTAGCTTGTATATTAATATCTACAATCTTGTGACACTTTTGAAGTTTGCATGTTGTATATTGACCATGGACATGAGATTGTACCATTTGTGGAAATTTGGAGTTGCCAAAACGAGAGCTCATGAATTTAATGTGGCTTTGATCTAATCCATGATCTGCTATCAAGCTTTTGGTTCAGCTGCAGAGGTTTGCTAATAACTATTATTTAAGGAACTAGTCAATGCTAAATCACATATGATATAATTACCGTACGAGTTTCAGGTAAAGTCACTATCTAGTATGATGATAGGTTTTGGCATATTGATATCTTTAGCTTCTTGATTTGGATAATGTGCTCTTCCTATAGGCTGAAGTAGAACTTATACAAACATTGCGTGATAGTTATCATAGTTCTTTACGCAGCGCGTGGCTTTCACGAAAAAGGTCTGCGAATGGTTTTTTCTTATGTAAACTTCACGAGCTCCCCGAGGTATGTATCCTTACTGAAGTTTTAGTATTTAATGTTTTCATCTTTGTGCCAAAAAAGGTGGTGTCCATCTTTCAAAGGAATCTCTTTCTCATTGGTACTCTCTTAAATGATAATTGTTACGTTATGATTCTAGCTCAATATATAGACCCCTATGCTCGCTTCATCCTCTACATCTTCGCCGATCTTTTCATCATCAGTTGTGAAATATAACATGAGGAGACCAAGAGTGGCAAACTCATCCCTGTTCGCAAATGCATCTATCAAAGCATCTCACAGCAGGATGAAACCTGTTGCGCAGTGTTCACATAACGTGATGCCAATATCTGATCAATTGTGGTCTAATCATCCAGCTACTAGCAAGGTAAATTCATTCAGTCTTTTTTCTCTGTTGTTCATTTAAGGTCTTTTGATGTCTCATGTCTTTTACCTTCTGGTGTGACGATCTGGTGAACTTGTAACAAATTTGTGATGGACAGGTCAAGGAGGTCTCTTCATTGGAAAACGTTCTGAAGAATTTTTGGGATAAACAAAGGGATCAAGTAGAAAACTTCACAGGTGACTTACATTCCGATCTATTTAGAGCACCTAAAGTAGATTGATACTGTGTTTCCAACAACTAAAGTCTTTGACTTGTTTTGTTTACTCACAGGGTTCAACCGCCAAAATAATTTGCCGCTATCTAGGGTCAGAAAGATTTTAAAATCTGATCCTGACGTCAAGGTATGGAAACTTAGGGAGATTGTTTATTTGCAATCATTGTTTGATTTTTGTTGACTGGGTTTGGAGTTTCTAAAATCGTCGTTTTGAAAAAAATTGTTGGTCTGTTATTTTTCTGGATTTTTACTGTTCAGTTGATCTCTTACTAGTGGTGACGACAGAGATAAATGTGCATTTTTCAGATGATCAGCCGGGAAGCTCCTGCTTTGTTTTCCAAATCTTGTGAATACTTCATTCTAGAGCTAACATTACGCGTTTGGATGCATACTCAGTCACGCTCTAGTCAGACTATCCGGCGTTGTGATATCTTCCAGGCCGTAAAGAATTCAAAAATTTATGATTTCCTGATCGATGTTGTTCCTTTTGGACCGCACTGTGTCACCCATCAGGTTAGCTTTCTTCTGCTTTACAATTGTACCATGTTTAAATCACAATTTTTTTCAACCAAAATTGTGTTCATGTTTCACTAAGCATGTGTTTTTCATGTCAGAGAATCATTTATGTGCTAAATTGTTCTCTTCAGGGTCTGCCAGAACATGCAGAACCTGAGCAAGTGTTGCCTAGTCCTAAGATGATTCTGCCAGAACATGCAGAACCTGAGCAAGTATTGCCTAGTCCTAAGACGATGATTCTGCCAGACATGAATGTTCCAGTCGATATGAACGAGATTGAGCAGGTAAATCATCAGTGTACGTTTTGATTATTATTACTTGAAACCAAAAAGTTTGATGCGATGCTAAGTTAGGTGTCTTGTTCGTTTCTTACGCTCGCATCAAAACCAGGAGAATCCGGTAACCGAGCGCTTTATCAAGAATAAAGGGTTTGACCTCAACTTGATCGCCAGGTAGGTTTCTTTGATCTTCTATCCACACAACAGCTAAAGTAAGATGTATCCATTAGCCATTTGTAGTATTTGATTCCTTAAACAAAATTTGATCTTTTGTTGTTTTCGAGTTGTTGGTTGATACTTTGGGTTGGTTTTAGACTTCTTTATCAATGCGATACCAAGCTAATATGAATTACAAAATATAAGAACTAAAGAAAGCATTTGCTTGTGTTTTGCTTAACATTTGATGTCAATGCTGTGGCTTTGGATCATGCAGTGAAGATGATTCTGATGGAAGTGGAGAAGAAATTTGAAGAGGAGTCACCAAACACTATGTTCACCATATAGTAGCTTATGGAAAGAAACCTCTAGTTTTAAAATAAGTTGAATGTGTATATCAATTGTTCCTTCGCAATATGTTTAATATGTTGGAGTATATAAGAAAAAACAAATGTTATATGTTTGTTTGCTTGGGCTTAATAATAGTGTGCCAATCACAAAAACAATATTCCCTCCGTTTCATTATGTTTGATGTTTTAGAAACATTAATTTTGAAACAGAAAGAGTATTAGTTAGCAGTATTGAAATGGTCAAAGAACGACCAGAAATGTAAGAATCCGAGAAGAGTCGGAGTGATCGCCTCTATATAGTCGAGATGAGACAAAGGCGATCTTAATTGATTGAATATGAAGAGTATTTATAGACTTTTACGTGTCTAGGCTCGAGAATACCGCGTTCTTAATTGAGTTGGGTTTGGATTCTTGGGTTGACCCGGTATAGTGCACTCGAGTGATTTTGTTTCTCTTGTCAAACTGTCCAAACAATACGGCTGTGCAATGTTGAGCCTTGTCTTTATCGTATTGTTGGCAGTGTCTAACATGGCGGGTCTTCCGCTAAGGTGCTCCTCGGAATTAGTTCTACTTAGATTTAATAGTTCTCTGGTCGAAAACCATTTGCTTTTACCTTGATATGCGTAAGATAAAAGTTTTGACTCTTTGACTGAAGACTTATGTCTCATATGTTTAAAAGAATTTGATTTTTTCGCGTATAAAAAAAGAATATCATAACTGCCCGAGTTCCTCATACGGGAACTCGGACACCGTGTGATGCTTCCAGATGATGTGGTTACATACGTCTAACCACTCAATTGTTCCAAATCATTCTCGGTAGTCATTGTGATTCATGCCCAAATATTTCTAGAGTTTAGTTTAGAAGACTAACTACACAAATGACCCTAAAAAAAATCGCCTAAATTAAAAATACATMATGCTAAGCGCTAAGCAATTCAGCTAAATCAAAGAACATTATTCTATCCCCAACACATCATATTTTAAAATAGATTTTTTTTTTTGGTCAAATATTTCAAAATAGATTAGATATATTAGTTAGGGCCTTTTTGGTGAATAACCAAAAAAAAAAAAAATTTTAAAAATTAGAAAAAATGGGGTATATGGCAAATTGTAGGCCATTAGATTTGGGGATTTTTGTTAGTTTTCAAATTATAATTTTTTTGTTGTATTTTTGACAAATTTTCCCTATTAGTTACAAATTGTTGACAAAAAAATAAATATTAGTTACAAGAACTTGTATATATATTACAGGTTCATAAATA